GTCCAGCGCCGAAACCTCCTGAAGGCGCCGTGTCCCGTCCCGTCCCCCCGCGGGCCGCAGCGCAGCCCCCGCCCCCGGGAGCCAGCCCGGGAAAAGCGGAGCGGCAAGAAGTGGGAAATTCAAGATTAATGACAAGGCGCGACGTTCCTCGGCGGCAAGCGCCAGCAAAGGGGCGCAAAGCCTGGGAAGGTCAGGGGTGAGCCGGGATTCGCAGCATCATCCCAAAGCTCGTGTGGAGAACAACAGCCAGAGCGAGAGAGGAAACGCTGAGAGACCCGAGCTACAAGGGGAGGTGAACCCTCTGCCTCGGGGCATCAGAAACATCAGTCGGGAGCAAGCAAGTCCAGGTGTGGGCTAGTGCAGCAATGAACATGAACCGCTGTCTGGCCAGTAACGCGGGGGCTTGGATTAGCCCAGCCCAACGGCCTCCGTAAGTCTCTGATATTTTTGCAGGAGCAGGCTCCCTCCTCATCGCCCTCCTCCGGGTTTGTACACCCACAGCAGAGACCAACCTCCTCACATAACCCAGCGTGGCAGCCTCCACCGTCTTCTGTTTTAGTTGATTGTCTTTCTGGACTTTCCAATCTCTTCATTTCATAGGTGGGAGAGTTAGAGGTCAACTGGATTGTGGTTTAAATCTTGCCCTGAAAGATTCTGCTCTTATATGGATGGAGCAGGAGGTAGTTAATTTGATTTACTCAAATGCTTTCTGATCTTTCCTGCAGCTGTAACTATTGGTTACAAAACCATAGTTTTTATGGCAATTAATTCTCCGGCTCAGGCAAATATGACCACTTCCAAGCACTCCTGCCAAACCCCTCCCACACACATAAGAGAATTGCAATTTTCAGGTCCAATGTCTTGGGATCTCCATGGCCCAGAAGCAATGTTAAACTGGGAATATCCCCTCTCTGGCACTACACAGTCCTTGTATTTAATCCAGATAATTTGTGAGATAGCATATATTAAACCTGGCACTGGCTTTTATTAGTCCCCAGTGCAATTCTAGGAAGGGATTCCACATTTCAAGGCAAAAAAGAAGCACTTCTACTGCCAGCAATTAACAAACGATGGATGTTTGAACCTTGATGTGCCAGAGGCCAGCTCTTATTAGATGAGTTTCCAGGAAGGACGCAGAAGAGCCAGCCTAAGTGAATGTAGCCCATCACGTGCCCCATGATTTATGACATGAATTCAACTCCACAGATGATGCTTTGGATCCTTCCCAGGGAGAAGTGCTCTGTATGATAATGTTATAGAGGCTTTCGCAGGTCCAGGCTGAGTCCTCCACTGAGCCCCACTGCAGTCTCTTTGTTGAATTACTAATAGCCCACAAATCATACATCACATTGCCTCACTCACACAGTGGTGAGCCCTAAGGACAGATTTTGTCTAGCCTGCTCACTGCACACTGAGCATCTTTCGCAGCCATTCCACACTAGTGATTTTTACATCTCAAAATACTGCTAGGAGCACAATTTCCCACTCAGGCTCCAGATGGGACCCTGGAGATGCCGAATGCGAGTGGCTGCTTAAAATAAAGTCACACATGGTCAGGAGAAATTCAGACCAGGAAATTCCCTCTTGCCTCCTGTGGCCAGCTATTCCAGCTACTACAAGAAAGGTGTTTGGACATTAGCTCTGACTTCCACTTCCAAATATTCTAACATTCACACCTTGCCTGTTCTACTGCAGAGACAAGACCCAAGACTCAGAAATAAGCAGAGGGACCGAACATGAAAAGCCTCTGCCTTCCTCCATCAGGCAGGCACATGTACCCAGCCCTCTGCTAGCCAGGGGAGGAGAGAGAACGTTGTCATTTTTGCTGGGCAGCAGGAATGTGCTGGTGAATTAACCATGCCCTCAATTCTATAGGGAGCAGTAAGTAATTTATGCCCTAAGGAGCAGGGGGTTGCTGCATGCAGGGAGGAGAGGGAACAGGGCTGTGCATTCAGGTCACATTCAATGGGGGCTGTCAGATCTCTTCCATCTACGCTGCTTCATCACACTATTACTATTTACCATCTCCTGTTTGTGCTTGGGGGGTTTACAAATGAAAAGAGAAAAGGTCCAAGCCTGATAGTGCTCACCCCACAGCAGCAGGACCACTAAAGCCCAGCAGAGCTGGAGATGCCCCAAACTCCTTCCATCAAGCAGAGGTGCAAGGGGCTACACAGATCCTTGGGCTCAGGGCCTGGAGGCTGCGGGGAAGGTGGGACTCAAGGAGGACCTTGAGGAGCAAGGGCAGGGAGTCACTGCACAGAGACATTGATCTAAGTGCAAAGTCAGTGAGGCAGAGGACAGCTGTTGGGAAAATCTAGACAGCAATGAGAGTCAAAGGGAATAGTGGTGAAGGGGGATCAGGTTTGAAGGTCAGGATTCAAGAGTTCTTTGGTCTCATGGGTGCTGAAAGAAGCAGAGCCTCGCATTCACATGTGTCAAGGCACTAGCACTCAAGCACCACACGACGTCCCAGCGGGAGCCCCAGCCCAGGTGCTAATGGAAGGAGCCACAACCTGCCCTGTGTGGCCCCCAGTGAGGGGCTGGCTCCCTGCAGACACCCCGAGAGAGCCTAGACCTTGTCCGGGGTCAGCTGCTTCCATGGCTAAGGCAGGAGGTACATCTGCCTGAGAGCCCACAGCCCCCCCAGGCTGGAGCAATTCCACTGCAGCATGTGCAGGGAGCAGCAAGACAGCCAGAGCTCGGACATACCCCAGGCTCCAGATGCAGCCTTTCAGAAACATCTTTAGGTATCACCTCTGGGCAGTCATCTGAGAGGCACCACTTCTGTTTGGGCTGTATTTCTAATGGGTGACGGGCCCTTGCAGCCCAGGGGCACTAACACAGTCATCTGGGGGCAGTCAAGACCCAAACATCTATCTATAGGTATCACCCTTCATCTCTGTTTCTATTGCTGTCACCTGCTGGGACAAAGGTAGAAATTGCAAAACATGATGATTTTCTAAAACTTCCAAATAAAATAAAAGCTGCAGTTAAATGCAAAAAGAGAAGGTTCATTAGCTTGCTTCTGAAGGCCAACCCTGCCCTGTGGCATTTCCCCAAAGACTGCTCTCAGGGCTGGCACACAGGAGCAAGTGGGGAGATTCTGAACTGGAAGTTCAAGATGTTCTCTCCAGAGCTGAAATCTCAAAGCTTTGCAACAGCTTCACATCCTCCACAGAGCCAGCACGGGGGCCAGCCCACAGAGGTCAGGAATTGTGTACCTCCTCCAGACAAAATAAATGCGCTGCGGATGTCCCAGGCCAACAGCAGCAGGACTGTACCCACTTATAAACCCATTTCCATCTTAACCAGCAACAGGACTCAAACAGGAGCCTCCAGAGCTGAAAAATACCAGGCCTAACGCACAGAGCTGGTGCCTGGAGGAGGCCAGTGTGCCCCATGTGTCACACATTGAGAGATACACAGGACAGGGTGACTGTGACGCTGGGCTAGTGCATGAGAAGCAAAGTACGAACTTAACTCCTTTATTTCTGCAACTTTCTTGTATTGAATCAGAGTGAAAAGTAAATCTGTCTTTTAATATCATTTGCTTTATACCATCTGAGGTAGAACAGTAACACTCAAAAGGAGATGGCTCTGGACGTCAGTGAAATTCAGTCTTTACATCCTTTTAAAAGCTCTCAGGGGCAAAGGCCAAGCAGGGAGATGCCCAACAGAAGCATCTAAATAGGGTGGACACGCTGGGCTGCTTGTAGTCCGGCTCCATCTGCTTTTGTTTGTTTTTCCTTTTTTAAGGGTGTTAAACCATGGAGAAAGCTGTGCATTTATAGTTATGAAAGCAGCTGCTCTGTGGCAGGACCCCAGCTAGCTGTGAAGATGCAGGTACCGGCTCAGGGATGCCGAGGAGCAGTGTGATGCCACCACGGCAGCGGGGTCAGCTGCGGGATGCCCGGGCACCGACAGGTTCCTGCTGCTGGGGGGAGCGGGTTCGCACCAAGCTAATGAATTAATTTCACAGGAGTAAGCCCAGGTCCTGCCGGCACAGCACACATAGCAAGCCCACGCTCACCACCACTCACCCTGATAAACACCGACACGCTCATCTGCTTCGCGCCAGACTTCCCTGCCCTTCGCACAGACGCTGCTTTTCCCAGTGCTGGGGCTGCCTCCTGCACCAATCCAGAGCCCAACACTTAGCTGCCAAAAACATCACCTCCCAAAGTACCTGAGATGACACAACTCCTCCACAGCAAACTGTGGGTACTTCTGAAGTTGAAGCAGTACAGAAACCTGCTCCTGAGGCTCCCTGTGCC